TTAATCATTTTTTTCCTCCCTTAATGCATCCTTTCTTTCCGGCTCTTTAAAATTTTTTCTCCTTTTTCCCCATTTTTTTTCTTTCTCTTTCCTTTATTTTTTTTTGTTTTTGTTTTTGTAGAAGAGATTTGAGATGGTACTCTATTCTAATCAAAAATAAAGTTTTGTAGTGGGACCAGAAATTACTTATCCGATCCCCTCTCCCAACCTACCCGCCCCCAACTCACACCCCCACCCCCATCCTGACCCAATTCTGCTGGGTTAAAGTTCCAGACCTGCTGTCGGGCTTTCTGTTTGTCAGACCGCCTAGCGTCCTTCCTGCGAACATGCAGAACGTGCAGCCACAAAACGGAGGGTGAGCCTAGGAGCCCTGGTGTGCAGGCCCCTACCCCAGGGGAGCAGGCAGGTCCAGCACCCAGGAATCGAGGCTAAGGGTAAAGTTTTCACCTTGACTGTGACAGCAGGAGGACCAGGTAGCTTCCTCCCTCCCACAGTCGGGGCGGGGGGACTGATTCTCACTCTTGTTAACCTACAGGCCAGGGGGCCGGGATTCTGGAGCTGTCACCCAGGGTCTCCTGGCCCCCTGGACCCAGGTAAATGTGAATGGAGACAGGTGTGAGAGCCTGTCCTCAACCTTGATGCCCCCCAACCCCCACCCCACCCGCCCCCAGCCTCACGACGGTGCTACCTAAGAGAGTCTTCCCCCGACCCCACACTTGCCTGGTCAGCGGTCAGCGAATTGGAGGAGGATCCGACAGAGTGTCAATGTGAGATAAAATGTCTTGGTTGTACCTGTTTGTGGTTTAGCTTTGTATTTAAAAACAAAAGGAAATAAACTTGAAAATTATTTGTCATCATAAAAATGAAACAAAAATTAAAATATTTATTGCCAGGCAAAGCCACCTGTGTTGTCTTACTGTTTTTTACAAGGCGGAGGTAGAAAAAAAATTAGGATTGGGTTTTCTGTTATTTTACAAAAGGGGTCACACACCAGTTTGAGTCTAATGTCCTAGCGGACAGTTGCGTTTGTATAATGGGGGTCGTAGGGTGCTTGTAAAGGTGAAAGTTAATGCATGTCGAACCCTTAGAACGATTCCTGACACAGTAAGCGTCAATTTGAGCTGCTGTAATTGTCACTGTTGCTTCTAACGTACTAGACTTGATTCTCATGGACCGAGCCTGCCTTGTGCCGGAAGGCCCTCCCAACAGCCCTGCACACCCCGCCATCCATCTGCCCTTGACTCACTGTTCGTTCCCTTCGCCCCAGATGCTGGAGGCTGACTGGGACTGCAGGCAAAAGAGCCAGATCCAGCACCAGCTCGAAGCGTCTGTCAGCCTTCACCCTGGACAAATCCCTTCCCTTCCCTGAAACTGGTCCACCAGGTGGCATGGCCTCTGCCTGCCTGCCTAGCAGGGTGTACTGAGGAGTCAGTCTCCACGCCTTGTTACAGCCTCACCTTGGAGGTCAGCTGCCACAGTCGGGGCTCCAGGACGTTAGGCTGGTGGAGTGGACGGATGGCCCCCAGGGCTGGACTTCAAACATTGGTCACAGGAGCTGACCCCCGCTCTGCAGTCCTGCAAAGGACGCAGCCCCTTCCCCCACTCTTGTCCCTTGGTCGGTCCATGTGGTTCTGAAGTCAGCACACGGGTTTGTTTCCCAAGCTGGCCCTCGCCCCCAAGGTGCAGGAACCTCTCCCCTCCCTTCCCGTCAAGAGGGAAGGACCCAATCGGCTGTGGCCTGACGTGGGGTTAGGACATGGCCCCAACCTGACGGCTGAGATGGCACGCTGGACCAGACTCTGGGACGCTGCCAACTTTTCTTGGGAGGCCGCGAGGTGGACGCCTGGGCTGGAGTCTGCACCTGGGGTTCTAGCCTGACGTCTACCACTTTCAAGCTGGGACCTTGGACAAGTCCCTTAGCCCCTCCGCGCTGTGCCTTGGTGTGCCACAGGAATAACACTACCCAGCCCGCGGCAGGTGGGGAGACGGTATGTGCGAGATACTTCAAGTGGTGCGGGCAAGGCGTGCAGTAAATTGTGCTCATTATTAATGCTGGCGCTTTTTGGAGAATAGGGGTGCGCCCGGCTTCACGGGGAAGAAGTGGGCCTCAGCATCAGGCCTGCATTTGCATCCTGGGCGGCCACCTCCTAGCTGTGTGACCTCTGGTAAACTACTCTAGCCTTTCGGGCTCTCGGTTTCCAAATCTGGGGGATTAACACCAGCCCCCATCTCCCCGAGCTGTCACGGGAATCGCCGAGAGTCCATGCAGCAGGGAGCCAGCGTTGCTTACCAAGGAACCAGGCTCCCAGGCTGTGTTCCACCGGCTCGTTAGTTTCATGGCAAAATGCAGCCACCCGCCATCTGTATACTGCATTTTATCAATTCCTAAATGCACATTTTTTTCACTTTTAACATCTCCGAAATCAGGAATAGCCTTGAAATCAACAGCATCTTAACGTTATCATTTGCAGCATTTTTCTTCTCTCAGACCAATGGATGAAATAACGGTGCATCAGTTAGACTCGATGCACTACGAAGGCCCCACACATGCGCCGCTAAACAGAGTGTACAGATCTGGAAACCGAGACCGGAAGTACCCTGCACAAGGTCACATGACTCTAAGAGACCACTCTAAAATCCTTCAAGTATCAAAGTCATTTTACTTTACTACAGAAATCATGTAAAGAAAGTCATGTTAGCAAAATCAGAGATTCACTAAATATCAGTGAAATCATCGCTGGAACGTCAATACCATCCTTTCCGGCATTCTCTTCTCCCCAAGGTCATCGTGGGACCAGAGGATCAGAAACCCGGAGGCCCCGCAGGTGGCTGACGTAAGCAGGAGGTGGCTCTGCTTCACTTTCCTTCTGCTTTTTGGATTTCTCGGTCCCACTTCCCCTGCCGAGGCCAGGCCTTCCGGATGTCCAGTTCCGCAGCTGGGGACAAAGCGATCGTGAGAGAACCTCGCCGCCTTCCTCCTTGGATGGCTCCGAGGGGAAACGAACGAGCAAGTGCAGTGTGTCCTCGTGGCACCGAGATGCAGTCGTCTTGGTGGGTGGTCTTCTCGAGTCTGAGAACCACCGCCTTGGGTCTACGTCTGCTTCCCAGACCGGAAAGAGAACCTGGGTGGAGAGACAGCGGGGTCAGAGGGAACAGAGAGGACGAAGCAGGGGCTGCCGGGCCCCCTGCCTGATCTGTAAGAGACTCTTGCAGGCCATCGACGCAGACGGTTACTCAGGGCTCGTGACGGACAGGCACTGCTGGGGGGCTTTCCATCCGTCAGCTCGTTTCGCCCTCGTAACAACTTGAAGGGAGTACGACCAATCTCCCTCTGTTATCAGTGACCAAACTGAGGTTCTGTAAGGTTAGGTAGCGGGCCCAGGTCACACAGGAACTTGTGGACTCAGAGACCTAACTTAACCACTGTGCTACGCCGGTGACTGGAGTCGGCCCCTTTCTTTTTTAAATTTTCCATGGTTTTATTGTAGAGGAAGCAATAACTTCTCAATGTTACTTGTAAAACAGATCTTTGCAAGAATAAAGATTCACATGTGAGTTCTTGGATAAAGGAGCTAAAATACAAAGATATTCCCTGAGACATGAATACCAAACTGCCCCCGTCATAGGCAGATGTGAAAAGGAAGAACGATGTCTGGGGTTGACCACGGAGTTTCATCTCAACACTATTTCCTGCAAAGATGGCCCTGCCCTGAAGAGTCAGTGGTGGGCTCTGGCTCTTGCTTCCTGTCAAAGTCAAGCCCACTGACTGCTGCTAGCGCTGGGCCAGCAGTGGCTGGGGCGAGCCCCGGGCTCTTTGATGCAGGGCTTAGTGCTGTGCCATCCTCCCCTGCGACTGTACACACTCCCCCACCCCACCCCCAGCACCCTACCTCCGGAAGTGACATCATCCCTGCCCAGTCATCCAAGCCAGGAAACTGGGAGTTGTTCTCAACTCCTCCCGCCACCCATCTGCTATATTTTAGTCATCATGCCCCAAATATGTCCCTAATTTCACCACCTCTCATCTCCTCCCCTGCCGTCCCCCCAGTCCAAGCCACAGCAGCCTCCTTGTCACCACCTACAATCCACTTGTGTAGCGGCCAGAATGCCTGTGTCACTGTGCAGAGCTGACTAAGTCCTTCCTCAGCGTAAGCCCTTCCATAGCTCCCCACGGTCTGCAGGACAAAGATAAAACTCCTTCTAGCATGACCTACTTCTTCAGAAAGTCTTTTTTTCTTTTTTTCTTTTTTTTTTTTAATACCTACAGCTCCTGGTCTTCCTAGGTGGTCTCCCATCCAAGTACTCACCAGGCCCGACCCTGCTAAGCTTCCGAGACCAGACGGGATCGGGCTTGTTCAGGGTGGCGTGCCTATAGACATAATAAGCTCGCCTTGACCAGGAAATCGTGGCTTCATGCTCTTTAAACATGAGGCCACAAGCTCGCTAGTGCCCAAAACAAACATTTTATTTCTGCTACATCAGGCTCAAACTCCAATTAAGTGACCCAGAGAGCTCCCCCAGAAGAGGCAGAAAACCCGGCAGAGTCCGCCTTCCCGGACACTCAGCCAATGGGAGCCCTATGTAAACACCTTCGAAGCCACGCCCGGTGCAGGTGGAGGTGCTGTCATTATCTGACCTCAGGACACCCTTCCTGGGGGCAGAAACGCTCCCCAAGGCCCTGCTTTGGCCCTGTGCGGTCCGGTCTCCCCAACTCGCCTCCACTCCCCGCTGTTCAGCCGCCACGGTCTCCATTCCACGAGCTGACTCCAGCCTAGGCCTTTCCACCCACCGTTCCCTCTGCCAGGAAAGCTCTTCTCTCACGTCTTTTAGGTCTTTCAGGGCTCAGCTGGACGGACACTTCCTCACAGAAGCCTTCCAGGATGTCCCAGTGCTAAAGTAGCCCCCTATCGACTTCTCCCTCAGCACCCTATTTAATGGTCTCGGAGCACATAGTTATCTGAAATTGTCCTGTTAATACATTTCCTAACCGGGTCACCCTCTGACGGCGCCTTCTAGAATGTAAGCACCACGTGGGCAGGGTTTGCCTAGGTCGCTGCACCTCCAGCACCTAGAATGATGCCTGGCTCTCAATATATACTCGCTGAAGGAATGGATGAATTTGGTTTCAGGTGGTCTGGTCTGACAAAGCAGCCGTTTCCATGCAGCCATTCCAGAAAGTCAGGGAACATTTAACTAAAGTGAGTAGATGCACATTCTACAGGCTGTTGGCCCCCTACATCCATCTCCTCCCTTGTCCACCCTCCTCTCAGCTCCAGGAGGCGGACCTGTGGGCAGGATGTCAACAAGCGCCCGGAGCTCCGGTTTCTGGCTGGGCTGAGGGGGAGGCGCCAGCAGGAGCTGGGAAGGTGGGAGGAGGAAGGTCACGGTTATGACTCCCTGGCTCCGCCCCTGCAAGTCCTCTGCTGCAGGCCAGGCTCCTGTCTGACTCCCCTCTCTCCCCCTCACAGTCCCCTCCCCTCCGCCCTCTGTCGCCACCCCTGGGTGTTCCTCTATCCCTGAGGGGACCTGACTCTGCTTACGGACCTGTAAACTGTCCTTTCTCTAACTCTTTTCGGTCACTCCTTTTGAGTGAGTCATTTTTCGCCATGATCCCACGGTTTCACTCCTGGGTCTCTACAGCCTTGGGGAATTCCCGCGCAGGTCCACAGGAGGACAGGAGCCAGCACAAAGACCTCCCCCGCAGCACTGTCACAGCAGGGGTCGCTGAAGGGCACCCGGGATCCCATCGCTGGGGGAGCGGGGCTTGTGCTGGGGTGGGAGCAACAGGATGGATGTCTACACTGCTGTGTGGACAGATTTTGAACACTGCTTGATGTCCATTGACAGGCGGGCGAGTAAATAAAATGTGGTCCATCCGCACACTGGAATATTATTCAGCCCTAAAAAGGACATCCTGACACAGGCTACAGCACGGAGGAGCCTGGAGGGCATCATGCCGCGTGAATTAGACCAGACACAGGAGGCAAATGGTGTGAGATTCTGCTCTTGAGGTACCTGGAGTAGTTAAATTCACAGAGACAGAAAGCGGAACGGTGGGTGCCAGGAGCTAGGGGAAGCGGGGAGGGGGAGTTAGTGTTCAATGAGCACAGAAGTTCAGGATGGGACGATGAAAAAGTTCTGGAAATGGACGATGCGATGGTTGTACATCGTCAATGTACTTCATGCGACTGAACCGTCCCCTTAAAAATGGTTAACTGTACATTGTGTGTCCTGTATATTTTATCATGATTTCAAAAAACTAAAAAGAATCCTTTGAGCTCAGTTCTCCAAGCCTAAAGGATATTTCCATGTACCAGCCAAATGGAGGCCACTGGCTACACGTGGCTTCTGCGCTGTCGAAACAAGTGTAAAATATACATCAGATTTTAAGGGCTTACTTTTTTTTTTTTTTTTTTACGCCTACAGCACCTGGTCTTCCTAGGTGGTCTCCCATCCAAGTTCTCACCAGGCCCCACCCTGCTTAGCTTCTGAGATCAGACGGGATCGGGCTCGTTCAGGGTGGCGTGGCCGTAGACAAGGGCTTACTATTTTTTAAAAAAGAACGTAACATATCTCATTGACCATGCTTTATAGTGATCACATGTTGAAGTGATAATATTTTGGATATGTTGGGTTAATAAAATGTATTATTAAAATAAAAAAAAAGAGTGCCTAATAAAAAAGAAAACAAGAGTGCTTAGTGAAAACACACACACACACACACAAGGAAGCAGGATGAAGTGTTAAAAAAATCAGTTACGTATTGAAAATACATCCACGCAAAACAATATGCAGTTTATGACACAGTGAATAGCATATCGGAAGGACCGGGGAGAGGAGGGCCAGGAAGTAGAGTGGGAATTAGGGGGGTGGGGGATAAAAGGGGGGTAAATGAAAGGGGTCTTGAGCTGACAATGAAGGAACTGAGGACCACGCACTTAAACCTCTGTTCCTGAGATCCAGAAAGGAAAAAAATAAATAATTCTCTCCCTCCTTTCTCTTGAAACGAAGGCATATTAAACCCGCCCTGGGAGGTAACCCCAGCGCAGAATTGCTGACCCCTCAAAAATATTTCCACGTGAAATGGGCGCCCACAGCGTCCTTGGGAGACAGGTCAGTGCTGCATCTTCAGGGCTTGGCACGACTCTCACACACAACACAGACTCGGCGACCGAAGGAATGGAAGAGAGGAGGTCCCCTCCCTCAGTCGCCTGCCAAGCTGCCCTCCCTCAGAAGCGGGACGAGTGGAGGGCAGAGGTGGCAGCCTGGTGGCCGAGGGCCCAATGAAGCCGGCAATGGCGGTTCATCAGGATTGCACGATTTTTATTTTACTTTACGTTTTTATACTTTTATTTTTCTATTATTATCATTACTATTCTTTTTCGATGCACAGTCTTTACTTTTAAACTTAAATTATTTGCCAGCGTCTGGAAATCCGATTCCGCGAACAAACCTTGTTCCTCGGCTTTTTTCAAGAATCAGAAACTCTGGCAGCATGTTATCCCTCAGCCAGACGGAGCTGAGGGACAAGTGTCCCCCCGACCCCTCGTCCCCTTCATCACTCATCCATACTAAGCGCCTGGCCCCGAAGGCATTTGCACTTGAAATCCCTGACGGAGGCTCTTCCTCAGTTTCCATGGGAGAGACAGGGGCTGGTAAATGACACCTGGTGACCGAGAAGGCGCATCTCCAGGTGCGATCCAAGGGTTCCCCACATCAGAGGAGCCCTGGGGATTTGTTAAAAATCCAGACTTCTAGGCCTCATCCTCCAACCGCTGACGTGATTGCTGAGAATCTGAATTTTGCACAAGTGTCCCACACCCTATGGTTTGAGGCGTAGCACCCAAAGACACAAGTGCTTAACGGTGGTGTGTGAACTTGAGGGGAGTGTTCAAAGGGAGCTGCATCACGTGTCCCAACGCTGGGACACACAGGTATCCTCCAGAGTTGGAGGAAAGAGGCGATGAATTAGTCCCTTAAATTCCAATAATTACGGTTGCTGTGTTTTTCTTATTGTTGTAACATTATTTCTTGGTTATTGCTACTGTATCATAGGGAGGCAGTGGAGTGTAGCATCTGGACCTCCTTGGATTCAAATCCTGACTTCACCATTTACTCTCCGTGGGACCTTCCTTGGACACATTACTTTACCTCTCAGTAGATACTTGTAAAATGGGGCAATGACAGTTCCTCCCTCACAGGGTCGTTGTGATGAATCGATAAATTAATATACGTCAAGTGCTTAGACCACTGCCCGGAAGAGATCGTATTACACGGCACTGAGTTTTCCTATCGGCTGCAGCCCCCACGAGGAGAGCAGGCCCTCCCCGCCCCGGGTGGCCGGCCAGCCTCCTCTCGGCCCAACTCCTGCCTTGACTTGGTGGTGACAGGGCTCAGCAAGGGAACTTACAGTTTCCTTATGATCGTCCTCTCCTCCTTGTTACTGCCGGCACTGCTCGTCCTGGCAACAAGAACATCCTTTTCTCTTCCTCCTGGGCCTTCTCTTGGTGGAATCAGGCCACTGGACAAAAAGAGGGACAAATAAATGGGTCGTTTTATCGCAGACCCCTGTGAGGCTCTGAAAGCGAAGAGTCTTTGTAATTATATGAATAACATCATCACTGAAAGTTCTGGAGTCAGAAAGATTCCAACTCAGATCATGAGAATCTTCCCTGCACGTTTCCAACGCCAATATCTTTTTTCTCTTATCTGATTACGCTGGCCACTACTTCAAGTTTGTCCCCTTTGGAGGAAAAGGACCATGTACACATTCTCTAACTGGAGCCTTGATTTCATAATTGGCAAAATTTGGATAATAAAAGTACCAACCTCCTAGGATTGATAAGAGAGATAATAATACATCATTATTGCATTCAACAAATATTTACGAAGCAATATACTGTGCCAAGGTGCTATAGATATAGCAAACGAAGAAAACAGACAAAATGTCTTTTCTCATGCAATTTATATTTCAGTGGGGAAGGAAACAGTGAACAAATAAAGAAGTTAAAAAAAAAAAGTATATAGTAAGTCACATGGCGAGAAGAGCTAGATTGAGATTGACAAGATTTTGAGGTCAGGTGACCCAAAGAGGGCCAGAGTATGACCCTGGACTTGATGTGCACACGTTGAAAGGCTGTTCCCGCTCGCTTGCTCAACGGGGGGCTTGCTCAACAGTAGCCATATTTCCTATGACTCAGAGAAGTGCTGTCTGTAATACCAGATGAGAACAGCAAACAAACAGAAGTGACGAGGGAGGAAAGAGGCGGCCTCGGCTGCAGTTTTTCCTTACGTCTGAGAGTAACTTCGGGACCCTTCCCAGCTATGTGGGGCAATACATTTCCTTTTGTGCTTAAGCTACTTTGAATTGGATTTCTGTCACTTGCAACCGAAAGAAGCCTGACCACAATGAAGCATTTCAAAGCGTGACTCAGTAAGCTCGTTAGATCCACTCAGCTATCTTGCTGTGGTGCTGACTGGCAAATGTGTGCCCAGGGTGTTTCTTTCTTGCCGCGGACTGAATTATGTCTGCCCAGAATTCATATGTTGCAGCCCTAACCCCAGCTGTGACGGCATCTGGAGATGGGCCTTTGGGAGACAGGTTCAGATGAGGTCACCAGGGTGGGGCCCTCGTGATGGGATTAGCGCCCTTGTAAGGAGATATCGGAGGGCTTGCTCTCTCTCTCTCCACCATGTGAGGACACAGCCAGAAGGAAGCGGTCTATAAGCCAGGAAGAGTCAAGAGCAGCCATGTTGGTACCTCCACCTTGGACCTGTAGCCACCAGAACTGTGAGGAAAGAAATTTCTCTTGTCTAAGCCATCCAGTCTATGACGCTTTGGCAGCCCAAGCTGACTGAGACACCCATTCAGGTAGGAGTATCAGAGAGCAGAATTCAGCCTTTTGTCTCCTTCTTTGCAAAGAGCTGGCACTTATTACTGAATATTATTTGTATTTTTATTATAATAAATATTATTTCAAGAGGCAGCATCTAAAAATTCCCATTTTCCATGATCTATTGTTACATAACACACTAACACTTAGGGATTTAAAACGATAATTTATGATTCCTCACGATGGCTCTATTTCTCACAGTTGCCTTGGTGCGTCCCCTGCTGGTTCTCAGGTGGCTGCATTCCGGGGTGCGGATCTGCTGGGGACAGCTATGGCCGTCAGCTGGGGCACCTCGGTTCACACCTCTCCAGGACCACGAAAGCAAAAGCCTCGAGGCCTCTTAGAGCCCTAACCCAGGAAGGCCAAAGAGCATCGCTCCCACCACGTTCCACTGGTCAAAGCAAGTCACAGGGCGGCCCGGATTCTCGGGGAGAGAAGAGACTCTCCCTCTTGACGAGAGGGGTGGAAGAGCCTCATCGCCGGAAGCATGCAGAATGGGAAACCCGTGGGGGCCATCTCTGGAAACAGCCTACCATATCCGCCTGCAATCCCAAACGAGCACTGCGTGAGCCTGGGCCTCCAAACCGCTGCTAAGAGAACACCTCGGCTGACAAGCCGGCTTCGCGAGCCTACCGAACACGAGAGACTAAACGGCCCGGCTGTCCGTCTCCTGCCTGCACCAGACGGCGAGTGCACACCTGCTCCTCTCTGGGAACTCAAAACGGCAGCGAGAGCGTGTTGCTTTATTCGCCAACGAGCCGCTCACGGCATCAGCAGTTTGGCAGCTCCTGTTTTTAACTACCTGTGTCTGACGTGCTTATTAAGTGAGACAAAGACAGGCCTTTCCAGTACCATGGTGCTGACCTCAGCAGGAGGCAAGCGATCACGCTCCCGCTGGCAGGACTCGGCCCTCTTGGGTTTGCCTCCCCAGGGCGTTTCCACTTTCCTGCTGTTCTCTTAACCATGCTCCATCGAAACGGCTGCAAGAGTAATATCACTCGGGCTGTGTTTTGAATCAGGACATGTCCTTGCCCTTAGTTTGAAACTTTCAGAGTCCAAACGGGCTCTGATGTCAGGCTGAGGTCACATCTCACGGTTGCCACCACCAGCAGTGGACTTTAAGTGGGTATCTGACCGATGTGAACCGAGATCGTCTTGGGGATGTTACTGTAAGTCGTAGGCTTGCTGTGAACACTGACTGAAACGAGGCTTGGGACATACTTAGCAGTGCACCTGGCACCCGGTAAGCACCGGTAAACGTTAGCTGGCGCTGTGTTTTATTCTCTTGGTCTTTCCTTCTTCTGCCTCTACAGAAATCTGCTTTGTTGAGCTCTGTGTTTCCCAGAATTATTCGACCACGGAGCCCCCTTTTCAAGAAATACCTACGTGAAAGACAACATTTTGGGAAAGACAGTTGCAGATGGATATAGCAAGGTACAAATCTTCCTTATTTCTTCTCCTCTTTGTCCTATAGTCAGTCCCTTCTCTATACAAATTATTGTGACCTTTTGTAATTTTAATTTTTATGTAATTTCAAACTTACCGAAAAGTTGTAAGATTAGTACAAAGACTTCCCAAATACTATTTGCCCACATCCCCTCATTGCTTATTTATGTTTCTCTATCAATTGATTGATCCATTCATCCATTCATCTATCCATCCATCCACCCACCCACCCATCCATCCACCCATCCATCCATCCACCCATCCATCCAACCGTTTAACCAGCCAGCAAATAGTCGACGTTTTTTTCAATCTCTATATCTAACATTCTTCTATTCATGAATTTGCCCACCATTCTTTCATCCATCTGCCTATATTTATATCCATCCGTCTATCCATTTCTCTGTCCACCCATATCTCCAGCCAGCCAGCCAGCTAGTCAGCTAGTCAACTCTCTTCTAATCTTTATATCCACCATCCTTCTATTCATGCAACCACCCATCATTCTTTCATCCAGCCACCTGTATTTATATCCATCCATCATCCATCCATCCATCCATTCATCCATCCATCCATCCATGCACTTGTCCATTTACCATCCACCCACACATCCATCCACCCATCTACCCATCCACCCATCCACCCACACATCCATCCACCCATCTACCCATCCATCCATCCACCCATCCATCCATCCATGCATCTATCTTCTTTCTGAACCACTTGAGAGTAAGATGGAGACATTTTACCCTCATTCTAAATGCTTCGATGCGTACTCTCAAAGAACAAGGACATTCTTCTACATAACCAAGTAGTTCAGTTATCAAAATCACCACAGTGGTGGTTTAAACCAGTACGTCGGATCTCGTCATTCCTTTCTTTGATTAAAACATCCCAACGACTTCTTATTACACTTAGAATAAACTCAGAGCGCCTTCCTGTAGCCAACCAGGCTTTCCTCCCGGTCTCTTCTTGACCATCCTTTGCCTGGTGTTCTGGGCTCTGCCATGCTGGGTCCCTTCAGTTGGCCCTATCAAACCTTTACATCGTTGGCTGCTTCTTGCCACACCTCAAAG